TTGCTGAATTCATTGGAGTATGTACATATGTTATTTCACAGTAATTCAATGTTAATGTACATCTATATATTTTCTAATATTAGGGTATTAAGGTTATGAACATTAATAAGCTGATGTTAAATATATATCATTTCTCCACTCTCTATTTTTGAAAATCCTCAACCATAAAACGATCAACCGGATTTCGGTTGCGCTCACTTCTGCGAAGTGGTTCAGCTGCAGGCGATTCATGAAGAGAGGTGCTCTGCTCCGTAATGTTACGCTCAGCGGGATTAACAGCGCAAGACGAATGTTTATGTACAGTGGCGTCGAAAAAAGGTTGCGCTGTGGGACGATCTTCGTTTCTTTCCTTGAGTTGGTTTTGGTGTCGTTTTTGATAGCCCATCGGGGAATGTACGATGTACGTCATTTTGCCCAGAACTCTGTCGATGCAACCTTTTATCCACTTAGGGCCGCGAGCATAATTCCGCATGTAAACCAGTTGCGAGGGTTTAAATTTTGCGTTGGCCTTGTTGTTCGGTGTACTCTGAGTGATTGGCAGTGCTTGCGATAGCAACGTGCGAACGGCGCGACCATGTAATAGTTGTGCAGGTGTCTTACCTTCAGCGTTGGGCATTGAACGATACGTCGAAAGATATTTTATCAAAGCAGCTGGAATCGACAAGCCATCTTGCAAATTCTTGACCATTGCCGTTTTGAAAGTGCGAACAAAGCGTTCAGCTAATCCGTTTGATGCCGGGTGAAAAGGTGCTGATGTGACATGTTTTATTCCATTTTTAGCGCAAAATTGTTTGAAGAGGTCGGCTGTCAGTTGCGGCCCATTGTCACTGACCAGCGTCTCGGGAAGCCCTTCAATAGCGAATATGGCGGATAGAGCCATAAGGGTATCTGTCGTCGTCGTTGTTTTCAGCTGTGTCACATAGGGATATTGCGAGTATGCATCTACACATACTAGCCACATATGATTAAATACAGGGCCCGCGAAGTCAATGTGCACACGCTCCCATGGTCGTGCGGCCTCCGGCCAGTTGCTGAATTCGCAAGCAGGATTAGATGAGTTCGTTTTGCAGATTTTGCAGTCTTTAGCGAGGTTCTCGATGCTTTTGTCGATACCCGGCCACCAGCAGTGGCTGCGAGCAAGCTGCTTCATTTTCACCACGCCCCAATGGCCGTCATGCAGGAGCTGCAAGATACGTTTACGTAAGGACAGCGGAATGACAACTCGGTTTGCTTGGCCCTGCAAATATATAATATCATTATTAACAGTTAAAGAAATTTTTTTATTGAAAAACGGTAAAATGTGCGAATTGGTGGTTGATAGGTGCTTTGGCCAACCAACACGTATGAAGCTGCGAACTTTCTTAAGAGTGTCATCTGTTTCAAGATGCTTCAATATTAAGCTGGGGTTTACGGGTGTTTCAAAGTGATCCACATTCAAACATGCTTCGGTTTTGTCAAACTCAGGATCAGCTGCGTATGGTAGTCGTGAAAGGGCGTCGGCGTTCCCGTGCTGTGATGTTGGTTTATACCTTATATCATATTGGTATGCCATTAACGTAATAGCCCAGCGTTGAAGCCGATGGGCGGTCATTGTAGGCAATTGCTTATCGGGGCTAAATATACTCACAAGTGGTTTGTGGTCCGTGATCAGCGTAAATTTGCGGCCATATAAATATTGGTGAAACCGCTGTACGCCAAATATAATTGACAAGGCCTCTTTTTCGATCTGGCTATATTTTACCTGATGTTGGTCAAGAGTCTTAGACGCAAATGCTATTGGTCTCTCCGTTCCATCTGGGTACATATGCGAGATTACGGCGCCTATGCCGCGGAGCGATGCATCAGTAGCGAGAAGAAGTGGAAGGTGCTCCTGGTAGTGTGCTAATTGAGCTGCTTTCACTATCGAATTTTTTAAAGACGAAAAGGCGTCCTCTTGCGCACTTTGCCATTTGAAACGTACGTTCTTCCGACGGAGTTGATTAAGAGGCGCGGCAATTTCCGAAAAATTCGGAATGAAGCTATGATAGTAATTGACTTTACCCAAGAAGGCCTCGAGATCTTTTAGGTTTTGTGGGCGGCGTAGCTTTTTAACAGCCACCACCCCTGCTTCATCCGGAGAAATGCCACTGGCGCTTATTCGCCTGCCCAAGTATTCGATTTCGTCTTGTAGGAAAACGCACTTCTCCCTCTTACATTTAAGTCCACTCGCTTGCAGACGCATGAAAACTTCGTTCAGTCTCCTCAGATTTTCGTTAAGTGTGGGTGCGGTTACGATTATGTCGTCAAGATAGTTGGCGCAACCCTCGATACCTTGAAGAAGTTGCTCCAAAAATTTTTGAAAGATGGCTGGCGCGCTAGCGATTCCGTATGGCATTCGCTGAAATTGATACAGTCCCAGAGGCGTATTCACTACAAGTAATCGTTTGGCTTCTTCGTCCAACTCCAATTGCAAATAGGCATCTTTCAAGTCTATTTTAGAAAACTGCTTACCATACCGTACTACATGTAGCAAGTTTTCGCGTGTTGGTAGCGGGTAGCGTTCGACATCAATTTGCTTATTTATTGACACCTTAAAGTCACCACATATACGGATTGAACCGTCGGGCTTTGCGGTGAGAACTATAGGCGATGCCCACTCACTAAATTTGACGTTTTTCCAAATTCCTGCGTCAACTAGTCTATTTGCTTCTTTCGTAAATTTAGGCATTAATGCAAAAGGAATTGGTCGGCTCTTAAAAAATTTGGGCTGAGCCTCGGGGTTTAATTTAATACTAGCTTTAAAACTGGTGACGGTGCCTAATTCCGGCTCGAACACTTGACTGAATTTATCTAATATTGCATTAACTTTGGGCATTATGTCGTTGATAGCTAAAACTTGCTGTATCTTGTAAACGAAGGCTTCAAACAGATCTGCGCCAAACAGATTGTTGCCAGAGTGCACACATGCGACCACAAGTTTAACTTGTTTTTGCTTTGCACCACATATAACATTCACTTTGAACTCACCAAGAGTATTTATTTTTTTGTTACCGAAACCGAATAATGACCGTCTACACGGGCTCAGTGGTGGCTTATTAAGATTTTCATAAGTTTCTTGCGTTATTATAGAAATAGATGCACCGGAATCCATTTGAAATGTTATTAATTTATTCAATATTTTTAAGTCAACGAAATTTTTGTTGTCTTGCTGCTTAATAACTCCGGTCACGGTATAAATCGTTTCAATTGTGTCGACATTGTCTTTGGATCCGTTATTCTTCCTGGCAGCTTTTTGCGAGAACGGTTTTTTATTTGCACTTTTCTTTGCATAATTGCTCGTACTTTTCGACATGCATACAGGTGCTATATGCCCTACTCGTCCGCATTTTCGGCACACTGCTTTTTTGAAACGGCATTGCTCTCGGCTATGTGAGTCACCGCAGCCTGAGCAAGACTTGTACACAATCCGCTTGTTGTTGTTATCTGCGCGAGTTTTATGAGATAATGCTTTCGAGCTATTAACTGCGTTCACGAGTGATGTTGTTTCACCGGCTATATTTTCCTTAAGCGATTGCACCGCTGTTGTCGTGCTCTCATATGATTCCGCTATCAGTAGACCTTCTGCTAATGTCGGTTGGAGTTTTTGTAACGCAGCAGCGCGGACGGTGTCGTGCGGGGTATGTAATATTATCATGTCACGTATCATCTCATCTACGTACTCATAACTGCAGTTACCGCTTCTGCACAAAAAGTTGCATTCCCTTGCTATGCCCCGCAAATCAGCGACCCACTCCTTGTAGCTTTGATTTGGCTTCATACTACATCTATTAAAGTTGTAGCGTGCAGAAATAACATGAGTTTCTTTTTTAAAATGTTCTGATAATTTTGCCGTTAGCTCTGCATAGCTGTAGTTTTGCAAGTCATGACTGCCGAATAATTTCTTTAACAGCTCAAAAGTGTCGCTGCCCGTCCACGATAAGAAGAAGGACTTCTTTTTTTCTGGTGTACTGACTTCATAAGCGATAAAGTGTTGGCTTAGCTGCTCCAGATATGAGTCCCAACTTTGGAGCTCTTTAGTGAATGCGTGGAATGATGTCACCATGGAACCTTCTCCTACAGCTTTGTCTTTTAAAACAGACTCCATCCATGCTTTTTGCGCTTCAAACATTTTTTGTGTAAAATTTTGCTGTTGCTCGAGGAGTTGCTTGAAAAACGCATTGTTATTAACGGGCGGTTTTTCGTCCGGCATTATTAATTATAAAATGAAACCGAGAATAACTTTTTATGACACGTACGGGTTGCTTATTTAAAAATCTCGTCGCCAGTTGATAAGTCCGCGTCAAAAGGCTGTTTCAATGCAACTAACATTTATTAAATCTAAACCATAAGCATAAGCTTAAAGCTAAGTCAACTAAATACTAATAACAGAGTTGTTACATACATATATATGTAAAAGATAAGTTGCTGAATTCATTGGAGTATGTACATATGTTATTTCACAGTAATTCAATGTTAATGTACATCTATATATTTTCTAATATTAGGGTATTAAGGTTATGAACATTAATAAGCTGATGTTAAATATATATCATTTCTCCACTCTCTATTTTTGAAAATCCTCAACCATAAAACGATCAACCGGATTTCGGTTGCGCTCACTTCTGCGAAGTGGTTCAGCTGCAGGCGATTCATGAAGAGAGGTGCTCTGCTCCGTAATGTTACGCTCAGCGGGATTAACAGCGCAAGACGAATGTTTATGTACAGTGGCGTCGAAAAAAGGTTGCGCTGTGGGACGATCTTCGTTTCTTTCCTTGAGTTGGTTTTGGTGTCGTTTTTGATAGCCCATCGGGGAATGTACGATGTACGTCATTTTGCCCAGAACTCTGTCGATGCAACCTTTTATCCACTTAGGGCCGCGAGCATAATTCCGCATGTAAACCAGTTGCGAGGGTTTAAATTTTGCGTTGGCCTTGTTGTTCGGTGTACTCTGAGTGATTGGCAGTGCTTGCGATAGCAACGTGCGAACGGCGCGACCATGTAATAGTTGTGCAGGTGTCTTACCTTCAGCGTTGGGCATTGAACGATACGTCGAAAGATATTTTATCAAAGCAGCTGGAATCGACAAGCCATCTTGCAAATTCTTGACCATTGCCGTTTTGAAAGTGCGAACAAAGCGTTCAGCTAATCCGTTTGATGCCGGGTGAAAAGGTGCTGATGTGACATGTTTTATTCCATTTTTAGCGCAAAATTGTTTGAAGAGGTCGGCTGTCAGTTGCGGCCCATTGTCACTGACCAGCGTCTCGGGAAGCCCTTCAATAGCGAATATGGCGGATAGAGCCATAAGGGTATCTGTCGTCGTCGTTGTTTTCAGCTGTGTCACATAGGGATATTGCGAGTATGCATCTACACATACTAGCCACATATGATTAAATACAGGGCCCGCGAAGTCAATGTGCACACGCTCCCATGGTCGTGCGGCCTCCGGCCAGTTGCTGAATTCGCAAGCAGGATTAGATGAGTTCGTTTTGCAGATTTTGCAGTCTTTAGCGAGGTTCTCGATGCTTTTGTCGATACCCGGCCACCAGCAGTGGCTGCGAGCAAGCTGCTTCATTTTCACCACGCCCCAATGGCCGTCATGCAGGAGCTGCAAGATACGTTTACGTAAGGACAGCGGAATGACAACTCGGTTTGCTTGGCCCTGCAAATATATAATATCATTATTAACAGTTAAAGAAATTTTTTTATTGAAAAACGGTAAAATGTGCGAATTGGTGGTTGATAGGTGCTTTGGCCAACCAACACGTATGAAGCTGCGAACTTTCTTAAGAGTGTCATCTGTTTCAAGATGCTTCAATATTAAGCTGGGGTTTACGGGTGTTTCAAAGTGATCCACATTCAAACATGCTTCGGTTTTGTCAAACTCAGGATCAGCTGCGTATGGTAGTCGTGAAAGGGCGTCGGCGTTCCCGTGCTGTGATGTTGGTTTATACCTTATATCATATTGGTATGCCATTAACGTAATAGCCCAGCGTTGAAGCCGATGGGCGGTCATTGTAGGCAA